ATCTAGTAGATCTACGTAAGTCATGAATGGTGGGACACACGTAATTGTCAAGCGACCCGTCCACGGCTCATTACCCCGTGCCGTGACAACAACAATTAAACAATTCCACAAACGCTGTGTGGGACCACGCCCCTCCCCGGTGGGAACCAGGACCAAACGTACGTTGTTGCCTTCAGTCGTTTGTAGATATAGTAACCTATACTCACCTCCTCCCTGTCCTCTCCCTCTCCCCCCACTTTAGCCAGTGCGACCATATTGCCTCCGCTCGAACAAGGTCTAAAGTAGGTGAGCTCAGTAACAAGGTGTGGAAGGTTGGTGAAACGTTCGATGTTTGGTAGGGAGAATAGATGACCTTTTCTTCATGCAATGTGTGTGCGTGTGTGTGTGTGTGTGTGTGTCAAACATATTTGTCAATCCTGAACGTGTCTGAGCTATCCTCCCTGGCCGGACCATAAATACCACGGTTCTTGGCCTTGCTGGTTAAAGATTTACTTGTATCTTCAACTTCTATTTGGATTCATTTCTACATCAAGATTTTTTGAACTCCCAAATAGTGTTATTTCTATTTTTCCGCCATTTAGCATTAACCTGCTTTCACACATTCATTTTTTCACTTTTTCAATACGTTTCTCTACTCTTTCTGTAAATTCCTTGGTATCCAATGGACAAAAAAAAAGCCATCTATCTGTGTGTCACCAGCGAACCAGTGGTAGCCGAGTTGATACGTTTGTATTTCATCAGCGAGTGGTTGTGTATACACTGTGGACAGTAAAAAGAGTAAAGTTGTTCCTGCATCTGATCCCGACATTGGCGATGGGGATTGCCTTCTTGGTGAGACACCTTCCTGGGCCTTCGGCATATTCCGTCCACCCCCCCACCCCTCCGACCAACAACCCACCTTCCTGTCAGAGTCCTCGCTGATCCGGTAGTGGTACACCCTCCCCTCAAAGCGGACCGAGATGGACCTCTGGCCCGGGCTGCTCTCGCTCTCTCGCACCAGGAAGCTGCCGTTGATGCCGGAGCTGAGCAGGTACTCGGAGGCGTTGCGGGAGATGGGCCCGTGGTACCAGGAGAACTTGTCCACGCTGTTCACGGGGCCGATGTAGTTGCTGGGCACCCAGCCGCCCTGGCCGCCACGGTTCTTCACTTCG